TGTGACTAGTCACTAGAGTGACAAGAAATTTTGAAAATTTTATATAAAATCATATTCATAAATATTTCACATGGAACTTTTTCAATCTAGCTAACTACTTTATGTTTGACAAGTCAAACCCATTCAAACAAACATCATCAATCAAAAATAGGAAAAATTATTCAATGTTGTCACCGGACGGTGTCCGAAGGCAAATTAGAGCACGTTACGTCACTTTTTTGTTGTGTACCGAGTGACGTAGCGCACTCTGATTTGCCTACGGACAATCCAGTGATCACACATAATAATTTCTCAAAAAATAGATAGCATATAAGAACAATTTATATATAAAATTAAATCCTCTAAAAGCATTCAACATAAGAAATCTATTCCCCACTAGAAAACGAGAAACAACTAATTATTAATCTAGAAAAAAAAAAGCAAATACACAGATCGAAGATAGACTTGAAAAGGCGATGAAGAAATCATATTGAATACTGGTTTCGGTTTCTCATTATTGTCATTGGCTTACAAAAACATCAAAAGCTTCTGTTGTAAACTAGTTTAATTAGGGTTTCCTCATGATTCTGTAAGAGGCTTTCGAGCCAAGAAGAAGTAAATCGCGGTGAAGATCTCCTTCCTGGACAAATAAGCACACACTCAAGTATTAAACAACAGAAAATCAATAAAAAAGAAACGAGTCTTTCCAAACTATTGTGTCTTGACTCTATAAATTCCCATTCTTGATTCCTTCGTAATGAGGATTAATTATTCTGCGCGGATTCTGGATGGCGTCTGAAGACGAATGACAGCACGTCACATCATTTTTTTATTGCGTACCGGTGTTGTGTACTGTTGTGTATTGGGCGACCTGGGGCGCTTTCATTCGTCTCTGGATGGTCCAGTGTCCGCACAAAATAATTTCTACATATTGAGAGTCTATATGGGACTATTGCAACATTTTATAATAAGGTTGTTGTGAAGGTATTTTGGGAAAAATATTTTTTTTAAGTTGTTGCGGATATTATAAATAAATAAATCTCGTATAGAAACTCATTTTGACCAACGTTTTGATCAAATTGATACACGTTTAAACCAGCAGGATGCAGGAGACCATCAACGTTCTCAGTTGTTGCTTATTGGTGACTCTAGTAAATGCATTACTCAGTCGTTTTACACTAACCTTCCACCAGTTGCGAGACCATCCGCAGCTTTCTCTAACAATGACGAAACTCTCATACTTCCTGCAGGAGCAAGGCGCACAAATTCCAGCACCCGAACCTGAAAAGCCAAAAACTTTAATGAAACTAATTTCCTTCAGAAGAACATGAAAGGAGAGAGTGCTACAGATTCTCACCATTACTCTTGTCATAAAACGTCCAATAGCTGTCGAGGGCAAGCTACTCATGGAGAAATGGCTCGTATCCATAGGCAAATACCATGGCAAAGGCGAATCAGTAGCAAAATCCTTCTCCCAAATGACCTTCAATAAATAAGTTACAGGTTTATATCCACAACTTCTCCAATTGCGTTTTATTTGGGACGGCTTTCTTACTACTTCTTAAAGCATGCAGCTTTTTAGTAGAAAAATTTTAAAGCTGATTTAGGAAGTTGGAAAGCTGTCTCAAACGAAGCCATAGTTTAAAACTTACCTCAAATCCAGCTTTTTGTAAGGCATCAAGGCATTGATGTGTTGATCTTATGTCAGGAAGCCCATTACCAATCTCAATCTCAGCCTTTATCTTCTTATGGTTCTCATTAGTGGGATCATATTGATCGGTCATGCACCATTCATAAGCAGCAAAGCACTGCCCTGGCTTCAGTACCCTGTATATCTCCTTATAGCATCCAAACTAGTAAAAAAAAAAAAAAAACACAGCAATTATCAGTCTCTACTGAGAACTGTAATTCCTGCAGTGAAAGAGTTAAGAACACAAGCAGTGAAAAACAGAGTTGGAGATGTAGGTGCAGAATATGATTTCTCATTAGCCCATGCTTCTACAGTATAAATTATATATATCCAAGGTAAGGATATAAGCTAACGGTGAGATGAGAGTCAGTTAGACTTCAATGGCTCTGATTTAGGCTTTGTTTGGGACGGCTTTTTTATTGCTTCTTAAAGCAGCTTTCTAGAATAAGATATAAAATTTTTATATTAAAAAGTTGTTTTATAAAGCAATAAGAAAGCCGTCTCAAACGAAACTTTAATCTGTAAATGTGAGTATGCAAATCAGAAGTAGTGATGGAATATACTGTAGTGGGCGACTACAGCAGAAAAGTGGTAACTGCTTATCACTTTGGCTTATCATCCACTTGGGGTGTAAAACTGGTCTGGCCGAGCTCAAGTCATCTTTAGCTTAAGCTTTAGCTTGAGCTTGATTAACTTATCAAGTACAAGTTCAAGCTCGAGCTCAATTCTGAGAATTTGAGTCCGTTGACAGACATGTTTACTTATTATGAATGAGGGAAAATGCGTCTTATCAAAGTATTTATTATAATATGATGATAAAATAGCTAGCAACAACAAGTAATCTCATGATATAAGTGAGATTAAGTTTTTAAATATTTTTAACAAAATTTAAAGAACTCTTTGAATTTTTATACATTTTAAGCATATTTTATAGTAACATTTATTAAATAAGCCAGCTCATGAGCTAACGAGCTGAGTAATAAAGCATGCTCACAATGATGAATTAAAAGTTTAGTGGCGACTCACAACATCAGGAGCATGGCAGGTTGCTGCTATAGCATATATAGCATCGTAAGTATTGTCACGGAAAGGCATTTTCATAAAGTCAGCCTGCATAAGTTAAGAACAAAAACTCATTAAATTTTTTGGTTCAGAACTCAACAAATTATGTAGAGACTAAGGCTTTGTTTGGGACGATTTACTTATTGCTTTTTAAAATAATTTTCTAGTACATAATTTAAAATTTTAATATTATAAAGTTGATTTTAGAAGCAGTAAAAAAGACGTCCCAAACAAAACTTAATAAAGATATCAGAAACATTCCAAAGATTGCAGAGATTTCAACCAGATATTGATCAGATAACATAGCTTATGCGGTGACAATGAAGAAATGATTAAAATGCACCTTGACGAAATCGCAAGAATTGCCCAGTCCAGCTAAGCGGTTTAGCTCCTGAAAAGGGACAAGAAGATGAGTCTCCCAAAAGAGGTTCAAAATAGTATCAATCAGCAAAACTACATTGATGACTACATTGATGAGCATTCAGTAAAAATATATACTTACAGTGGCCCTGGCTATCTGGTATTCATTGTTGTTCAGTCCAGTGATAGACACAAAGCTGCAATTTTTCACTACATCAAGAAGTTTTTTTAACAAAAAAAATTGTTTTAGAAAACATTAAGAAATTTGTCTCAAACAAGCTTTAATTTCTGGTCATTATTATCATCCCTCGTGCCAGACAAGTATTGCACTTTACTATTTGATAAGATGTTGAGACAGAGGCGGTTACTATTGAAGGAGACCAACCAACTGATATGAAAGTGGCCGAGGAGGTTTTAGAACAAGGCATAAGGAAGAGGAGCTTGCAAAGGCTGAGGAAGTTGATAAGGAAGAAAAGAAAGTAGGGTTCCAATTGATGTGCTACTCTCTGGTGATAATGACGGTCAACTGTCAATGGCACTGAACTGAAGTACCGAGCGGTATAGAGCAGTATCGAGCCGTGATACAAAACGAAGGGGTGACATGATGTATTCTGATTGGTCTCCAAACGACGTTTGGCGTCCGCATAAAATAACTAATCCTCATTAATCATCAAAAAAGAGCACCTCAAGC